CCCAGTGGGAGCAGAAGCAAATACTGTTGGGTGATGATGCACAGAGGAGACTGTAATTATTCCAATGAAACAAAATACAATAGGATGAGTGCAAAACTGATCTTCTCCCATGTAAACTATCACTCAATTCACAATAAAGTCTTTAAAAAAAACAGAGGTTAGGATTTCAAAAACAAAGTTTGATCCTGTACTGAAAGAAAAGAAAATATGTTAGAGAATATATGTTTTTTAATTTACAAAGAAGACGATACTTAGATTTCAAATCAAACCTAATCAATTAAAACTTAATTCTGATTTCTCTTTTTATATAATTATACTCATCATTGGAAACCTGGATTTACATTATACACATAAGAAGTTAAAAAATGCAAAATAATTTATCAAAAGGTCTCCCTAAAGTAGCAATTACCCTTATTGAAAGGAGCACTGGTGGTACAAAATTCAAGTGCTTGCAGCTAACTGAAAAGTTGGCAGTTTGAACTCATCCAGGTGCTCCACAGACGAAAAGAGCTGGCCATTCTACTCTGCCTCATGGGTTGCTGTGAGTCAAAAATTGACTCCATGCACCCAACAATAACCCTTACTGAAATTAAAAAATGATTCCATTTTTTAAAATTTATATACAATTCCCAAGAAAATATAGTATGATATACAACTGTCATACCAACATAAGCTATAGCTTCGAACTTGAATACTTGCAATTGGGATTTAGAGTGACAGGGCACGGAAGAGTGATGGCAGAGTCATCGCTGCAGGCAGACATGTCCCTGCACTCCTTCACTAAACAATTAAATTGACTGAAGTGCTAGCCATCTGCCACCCTTCTCTGATGAAGATGCAAAAGAAAACACATTCAGGGGCATGATTTTAGCATAGTTAAGCTAGAGCTGATACTGTTGACACATTATCTTATTTTATGTGACTATTTCAACAATAGTTTGCTGGGTTTTTCAAAATTATTGTTGTTATTTTTTAATGCACAAAATAGAGCTGACTTAGACGTTGAAGCTGATACTTTGAGAAGATGGGCCTCTAAGGTAGGCAAGCACTAGGGACTTTTTCTACCAACTTCAGACAGTTGGCACAGTAAGTTTAGGGTTCTGGTGGACTTGGGGCATTTAGAACTACATGTAATGGGACTAGGAGTTCCTAAGTGGCACATATAATTTAAAACTTGATTAGTAGCTAAAAGGTTGGTGGCTTAAATCCACTCAGAGATATGTCAAAAGAAATACCTGATAATCTGTTTCAGAAAGGGTCAACTTTGAAAATGCTAATTTCTATTTCTATTTCAGTTCTATTTTATACACATAGAGGCAACACGAGCCAAAATCCACTCAAAGGCAGCTAACAACAGAGTGGGACTTAAATACTCTTTTTGTTCTATAGATCTCTCCTTACTTGCTTTCTAGCTTATATTTTATATGGAATTTATACTACAGCTCTATTAAGTTGCAGCTTATTTTTATCTTGTCATTTAAGGCCAAATAAAGGACTAATAAGTTTTCTTCTCATTGAAATAAAAGTAAGAGTGAACCATGCAGCCACTCAGGGAAAAATATCCCAAACAGTAGAAACAGCAAGTACAAAGTTCCTGAGGAAGCAACCCACTTGGCATGTTTGAGGTGTCAGGTGTGTAGTGAGGCAAGAGTGGTAGAAAACTATTTATTCCTTGTGTGAAAACTAGGAAAGCAGTAAGGAAGCCAATTAGAATGTGATTGTCATAGTTCAGGCAAGAAATGATGCTGGCCTGGCCAGGGAGTGCAGCAGTGGAGGCAGTGAGAAATGGTCGGGTGGAAGGCAGAGCTGATGGGCTGGTGGGGTGGTAGGGTATACAATACATACCTGGGTCATGAAAGCAGCAAATTGACACTAACCTTATATTGAGTAACAATGAATCTGTAGAAACAAACACATCAGAGAAGATGGATTTTGGATGCATGGTTGTTTTTGGCATACAAGGAATGTAGTTAATGCACACAGGATTTAGAACAGAGTAGATTCTCAGAATGGCATGAAGAGAGCTAGAGCAGCCGTGGACTCTAGACTTAGGGAAAGAGAAAGGCTGTATGCTGGCAGCCAGGAGGCAGGCTTGCAGAATGTGCCCTTTGATGATTTAAATGATTAAATGATTCCTGAGTATTTTTGTGTACA